AATTGCTGTGTCTTCTTTGAAATGTTTAGGCTGATCACTGAGAAACATACAAAGCATCTTTCTTTATTAGGGGTTGATGTCTATATGTACTTAATCGCAACGATAGATAAATGATCCCCTCACTCAACCTCCCGGGCGACACAAAGCTCTGAGATAAAGTATATTTTTATGGAGATCATACCAATTGGATTTATATGAGATGGTATTTTTAACATAACAAGAAAGGGGACACAAATTTAAAAACTCTCAGGCAATTTATTGTTTCCTTTTTGTTAGAAGGGGGGGGGAGGGGGAGGGGGAGGGGGCTTTTTTCCTGACTACCTTCCTACATGTAGAGTTAAGTTTCAATATATTATTTTTCTTATTTTACTTTCTGTATGTTGTGCTTACATCTCCTAGCTACGAGATAGTTTTTGTTGTTGTTGTGTTTTTTTCAATAGCTTGATATGTTCTACCTTTGTCTATTATTATCGCAAGCACAAATTTCGAAGATTTTTTTAAAAAAGGAAACGTATTCTGCTGCAATGACCAGCTAAGACGGTTTATTTTGTTTAAAAAGCTCAAATAGTGGATATAATGATCTTCCATGTTGTTGTTTTTTGTGTGAGGTATATTATGCTGTACATTGGGAATTTTTGTCACAAAATACCGTATTATTCAACCGAATTGAAACTTATTACATGGTGAAATGTGTAGAATCATCGCTTTTTTTCGTTTTATTTGTCTTTTTACATCAACTAATGAAAACAACGATGTGCGAAAATGTATAGGTTTAGCGTCTGCTGCAGCTCTGCAGGGTGTTAAGAAGCGCGAACATTGAATTTGGCGCCCATCTCCGAAAGGACCGAACCATAGGAGAAGATTGGTCTAAAGTGTCTTTGTAAAGGACACAATATGGGGTCAAGCTAATGCTCAAATCCTCAAACCGGGCCTGGGTTTCAAAACTGTCATAACTCGAAATACGATATTTTTGCTTTTAAGGGTATGTTAAAAACGTCTCTGATGCGCATCGTATGTCAACACCGCGAACCATTAACTCAATAAATAAAAAAGTAATGCCTTTATGAAAATGTACTGCAAATTTATAGCGGATAAATTGAGGCAACAATTTGTGGCAACAAAAATATCGTTTCTTGACTTACGATACGTTAGAAACCAAATATAAATCTGTTTTAATACAAAAGTATTGTAACTCCAAGTTACGATAGTTTTCTAGCCTGGGACTGGCCTCAACAAAGAAAGATGAATGTTATTCTGGTATTGCATCTTTGGGTATAATAGATTGAAATGTGTCCTCCTTGGCAGCGCCACTATCGTAACTTGAGATACCGCACTGTATAATTCATTTTAAAGGAAGTTTCTAAACTATTGTAAGTCGACTCACGATAATTCTGTTGCAGAAAAAGCAGTGCCATGATATCGTAACTTGAGATACCATCCAAACGGAAAGAGATACAATTTCAAAATATCCCTCAACATATCTGGCGTGTTTTTCAGCCTGCAATATGTGAAAACCACATCCTCAAATCATCTGTGCGAAGAGAAAATCAGTTGTTGTTTTTTCTTTCTTTTTAAAAATTTTTATTTTGCTTCTCTTGAAAAGTAGAGTTTTCAAGATACGATAGTTTTAAATCACAGGCCCAAAACCGGCAATCTCATGATTACGAGTCAGGTAGCCTAACTAAAAGACTACAGACTACCAACACCACCTTAAAGATAAGTACAGGTCATTGGTCATATGGCGTTTGTCGGTTTACAGGAAAGTTGTCACTTTTTTTTTTTTTTAAGGAAACCCTTGTTGGAAAAGAAAGAAATGTTTTTAAAAACACATTTTTAAAACACAAACCTATTTTCTTTGCATATTTGATCCGATACCCCTTACGTTGTGTGCATCCCCAGATGTTCGGTGAGATAGCTGGGCCACTCCTGTTCAAACCCACGCACATGAAGAACCTGGTGAACTGTCTGGCTGTTGTTGTGCCAGTCTCCAACATGCCAAACTCGGTGAGATATTCAAGATTTGTTAGAAAGCTCAGATGCCTTACGCTTTATTGATATCTATGTGTGTGTGTTTGTTTGTGTGCGTATGTATGCCTATATTTTGTCAATTGCCTTTTCTTGGGGGCGGGGGGGGGGTTAACAAATTACAGTCAAACCTGTGTAAGACGGCCACCCATTGTCAAGGAGAAAAGTGGCCGTATAAGACAGGTGGCCGTCTTAGGCAGGACTGATCAAGGTGAAGAAAACAAACCATTCCCATCTGAGGTCCCAATCAAAAGTAGCCGCATTATTGTTGTTGTTGGTGGTGGTGGTTTGTATTTTGTTTGTAATTGTTATTTTGTTGCTGATTTTGCACAAGGGTGACAATAAAACGAAATGTATCAGACGAGGAAGACCGAGTGCCATGTTAAAACAAACACATGGGTCGCCACCACTCGGAGAACAAGCGATGCTTCTGTCACAAGTTCATGTTGACGTCCTTTTTTACTTTGTTACAGACTGGGTAAACAGTGACCATGTCATCTCACTTACGATTTGTGTATGAGTTCTGGGCGGGGCTTATGGGTTATGAGTGATCACACGCTTACCTCACCAGCAGCTGAAAATTGGTAGCTATTGGTCAACAGTGGGAGGGGCCTACGCAACATGATCGGTTGGAGGGACTACCTAACAACAACGACAGGTGATTGAATTATGACGGCTCGCCCACAACGCCATGGGCCAATGCACAATTTATGACTAAACGTAATGGAGTCACTCGGGTGGCCGTCTTAGACAGGGGTTATTGCTTTGTGTGATAAGGATTGTGTGTTAAAATATGGTGGCCGCGGTCGCGTTGGACAGGTGCCCGTTTTACACAGTTAAATTGTATAGAAAAAACGCAAGGGGGGGGGGGAATGGAAAGTGGCCGTTTTTACAGGTGGCGTCTTATAGAGGTGTCCGTCAGGGAAGGTTCGACTGTATATGTCCTTTAAAAACATTTTAAAGTAGAATTTACTAACAAATGTTGACCAAAGGCACCCAAAAATGTAATTTTGCAGTGTTCAAGGACACTCGAGCTTTGGAAGTCGCCACATTTTGGTGGCCATTTTCTTGCTTCTTTGACTTCTGAAATCAGGCGACTCCAACTCCACAAATCGAAAATATCTTGATTTCTATTCAAGATGATTGGGTATTTTTTTCCACCAAAAGTAAGGCAAACGAACACGCTTGCGCACTATAAAAATTGACTACCCCTGGTTGCACTACGTCATAACACATATACAAATAACAAAATAATTAATATACAATTAGATCAATCAGTACGATATGCATAACGCATAGATAATATACTACGTTTATATTTATATATATGTATATTTATTTATCTATTTATTTATTTATTTATATACATGCACACGAAAATATGCTGTATTATGTGCATATTATGTATTATTTCCTACTAATACAAACATATAGATTATAAATATTCATGCAATGTACATTAATCAAAACACACACACATTACCATGCACCCTCACACACACACACACAAACACACACACACACATACATATACACACATAAACAAACAAACAAACAAATAGTAAAAAAAACTTACAGAGAATAAAGAAGAATCATGAGACAGACAGAGTCGGAAACAGAGAAACAGAATCTGTGATGTAGCGGTCAGGCGCTAGGCTGTCGCCTTCAGGAGACTCGAGTTCGATCCTCGAGTGGCGAGACAATCTTTATCCAGTATCTCGGTCTTCCTACTGGATATTGTTTCTCTCTCAGCCGGTCCCTGACAGGCAAGGTCGGAAGCCCGCCTCCTAAATGATCACAATTATGTAGATGGGAGAGTAAAAAATGAGAACTCACCAAAGGGGTCAATTTGTGTACACGTTTCAGAATCTGGAGAGTGTCATGGAGCGGTTCGCATCTGGCATCACTGTAGAGGACACCTCAAGTGCTATACGCAGGGTAAGTGTAATAAAAATAATAATCAACATCATCATAATCATAATCATAGCCATCAACATAATAATGATAGTAGTAAATAATAATTATATTGATGATAATAATCATTTTTATTTGATATTAGAGTAATAGTAATAATAAAAATGATAGTGATAATAATAGTGATAATAATAATAATAATAATAATAATAATAATAATAATAATAATAATAATAATAATAATAATAATAATAATAATATTAGTAATAGTTATAATAATAATAGCAACAGTAATAATAATAACAGTATTTTTTAAAATTATTATTATTATTATTATATTATTATTATTATTATTATTATTATTATTATTATTATTATTATTATTATTATTATTATTAATAGTATTATTATTATCAGTATTGTTATGAAATTAAGAAGAAGAATACTAATCATCAGCATCATCATCATCATCATCATCATCACCATCATAAGATAATGATAATAATCCAAATAAAAATAAGAATTATTATTAATAATTTTAATAATATTTATAATATAACAATAATAATAGTAATAGTAATAACAATAGTAATAGTAATAATAATTGTTATTATTATTATTATTATCATTATTATCATTATTATCATTATCATTACTATAATTATTATTATTATTATTATTATTATTATTAATATTATTATTATTGGCCCTAAAAATTACAATGATTTTTTTATGTGATAAACATCACTGATTTGAACGATTCAAAAGAAAAAATTTTTCTTTTTTATTTCTCTGATCCTTTTCTGTCTCTTGAAAGAGTGAAAATAAATCAGAAAGGCCAAATACGTGCAATAATTAACTACTGTATTTTTCCTATGTTGCTTTAACCCTCAGGGAAACATTGAATACTACGCCACTGAGGTAGAACTGAATGCCAAGTTTCGCCTGTACGCAAGGAACTGTGCCGCCGTATTTGCCGGACACAACACGGTATCGGCGCAGCTCAAGTTTAGCTCCAAGAGAGGTAGGAGGGGAAGGGTCCTTGGGTCAAATTGATCGCAGTATCTATTCGGAGACAACTCCGACGGAGATAGACCAATCAAAAGGCTTTGTCCCTCTAGACCAAGTAAAAAAATCTGGGGCGTTACAGGGGGACGCCCCCCCCCCCCCCCCCCCACCCCATTTTTAACCCATAATAATTTGATATTTTGCAGTTAGGTTTGAAATTTTCTTGAAAATAATTGATTTGCGACAGTTTTAAAAGCTATATGTGCGATCGGCAGCAAACAATACGCAGTTTGTGTGTGGGAGTACGTCTCCGAATAGCTGTTGTTGTTGCTGTTATTGACATTCCCCTGTTGAGCATTTAGCATAGTTGCTGAGTTTCAACAGAAGTCTATTTTAAGTGCCACAAGGCTCTTCCACACTGCATGTAGAAGAAAAATGGGTTTTTTCCCGAGCTGGGAAGTGTTACATGCTATATTAGTATCCGCCTTAAAGCTGGTTGTCTAGACAGACAGAGTCGAAGAACCCGGCCTCCTAAGTGGCATAAGTTGTGTCGATGAAGGTGTCATATCGCCACCTTAGAATTACAAGGTTCTAAGAAACTAGTTTTGACCATTTTGACGCAATTTGTTTTGAGTTTCACAGTACGCCGAGTGTTTCCGAATGCAATTCTTTGAATAGGTTGATAACCACTCCAAATAGTCTTATGATTTTGATTGTGGAGAAAGAATATTTGGTTTCTAACCTCGTGATCTTAGTGACTCAGAAGAGTCAAAATTGTCATAGAACTTTCTAATTTTTTATGTTTGTCACCCTCTTGTGACGCCTCTAATCTTCTGACCCTCATATGACCTTATGTAGTTGCGAGCTCTGTAAAACCTCTACTAAAACTAAACTAAACTAATCCATTCCCCCAGCGTACACTGTGATCGAAGGGGACGAGGAGCTGCCCCTAGGGGAGGAGTTCCAGTCTCTGGTCAAATGTTTCATTGACACGCATGAGAAAAAGCCGGACAAACGGTTTTTGCCAGCAGCCAAGCTCATTGACCAGCTTTCGTGAGTTGTTGCTTATTTCTTTTTCTTTCTTTAGTTTTTCTTACATGTATTGTTTTTTTTTTATGGTGTCTGTGTTTGTTTTGTTCGTGTTTGTTTAAATTATCTCTACTTCGGAAATGTTATTGCTTTTCTAGGTAGAGGTGCGCGAAAAAAGAGGGGGGGGGGTGCTGAAGTTTTATCTCGTTACACATGACAGACAAATATGATTACTATGGAGCAAAATATGTTTTGATTTTCAACATGAATTGACTTCCTGTTTATGACTGCAAACGTTTTTTCTTGTTTTCGTAATGTCTCTTTTCAAACATGGTAAGCTGGATCTTCTCCTAATAATTCGTAGAACATGCTTTCGTTTTATCTCTGCTGTGTGCATATTCCTATAATCTTCCCTGGTGTTATAAAACAAATCTGTGTGCAATTGTGAGTATAATATTATTTCTAAAATGTCCACTTGTCTGTTTAAACAATAATGTGGACTGTGTGTCTATTCCAAGAATATCTCCTTGTCTGATATCAACTGTGTGTATTCTTAGAATCTCCCCTCGTCTTATGTCTACAGTGTGTATATTCCTAGAATCTCCCCTCGTCTTATGTCTACAGTGTGTATATTCCTAGAATCTCCCCTCGTCTTATATCTACAGTGTGTATATTCCTAGAATCTCCCCTCGTCGTATGTCTACAGTGTGTATATTCCTAGAATCTCCCCTCGTCTTATGTCTACAGTGTGTATATTCCTAGAATCTCCCCTCGTCTTATGTCTAGAGAGTGTATATTCCTAGAATCTCCCCTCGGCATAGATCTACTGTGTGTACCATAAAATTTCCCCCTCATCTTTCGCTGTGTGTATATGTCCTAGAATCCCCCCCCCCCTCACACACACACCCATAGTCCTATATCTACTATGTGTATATTCCAAGAATGTCCCTCATCTTCTACAGTGTGTATATTCTTAGAACCTCCCTTCATTTTACTAACGTGTGTATATTCCTAGAATCTCCCCATGTCTTATATCTACTGTGAGTACCCTAAGATTTCCCCCTCATCTTTCACTGTGTGTATATTTGCTAGAATCTCCCCATGTCTTATATCTACAGGGCGTATATCCCTAGAACGTTCCACATTGTCCACTGTGTGTATAATCTTAGAATCTCCCCTCATCTTCTACTGTGTGTAAATTCCTAGCATCTCCCTGGAGTACAAACGACTGACCGAGAGTGCCCGTTTGGAAATGGACGAGCTGAACATCAAGTGCTTCCAGGTGCTGCGCGCCATCATACACAACGAAGAACGGAAACTTCCGGAGGACTGGGAGACTCGGACATCAGAGCACAAAATCGAAAAGTGAGATATGAGATAATGGAAAAAGAAAATATCACCTCCCCCCCCCCCCCCACGCCCACCCCTATCCCCTCTCAGTTCTTATGTCAAGAAACTGGCCCAAGATAAGGGAAAGAGGAAAGTTTTAAAGTGTTTTTCGATGCCCAAAGGTCGCAGGTTGAAAAAGCAATGATGATAATGATTCTTGAAATTATTACGTTCAAAGAGTCTTTTACAAACGACATCATGGCGACCAACGTGCAGTTTAAGGGGGAATGGAAACCCGGATATGTGTACTAGTTAATTAAGCAAGTTCCAAATTGAGGACGACGTAAGTCTACTTTTACAGAAATAACAATGTGAATAGCATCATCATCATGAAAATAGTAATCTGTAGTAGTAGTAGTAGTAGTAGTAGGTAGTAGCAGCAGCAGGAGTAGTAGTAGTAGTAGTAGTAGTAGTAGTAGTAGTAGTAGTAGTAGTAGTAGTATCTTATTAATGTTATTATATCAATAATTATATTATTATTGTAATTGTTATTATCAATTGCGTACGTTTAAGACACTAATGTCTACAATAAATAATGAAATAGTTCTTTGTACAGTATACTCTTCCCAAATCATTTTTTCGTTCTTTTCTTAACTCATTAAAGACGCCAATCCTGCCCATTCAAACGCTTGGAAAAGCTTAACTTCATTATATCCAAACAGATTTTCCCATTCTGTGTTCTTTTTCTAAAATTTAGAAAGGTAGGCAACAGCATTTATATTAATATGAAATGTCCAATATTGTTTTTGTGGCTTGTGTGTGTGGGCTTGAAATGTGCCGCAACAATGACTTTGAACTGTTTTTGGTCGGACAAATCTGTCTGACGCGCCTTTAAAGTGTAAATCAATTAACCCCCCCCCCCCCTCTCTGCCTCTGCCAGGGGTCTCAAGTTCATTGCAGCCATCCAGAACATGTACGACCAGAAGGGTGCCATGAAGAAGTCTCTGCCCCATCTGGCCTCCAGGAATGACCTCATCGCCAAGGAAGTCCTGGCTTTCCTCTGTATTATGCTCTTCAACGCTAACAGTATTGTGCAGGTGAGTTGTTGTTGTTGCTGTTGCTGTTGATATTGTTGTTGCTGTTGCTGTTTGTTTAATTGTTTATTGTTGTTGTTGTTGTTGTTGTTGTTGTTGTTGCTGCTGTTGTTGTTCCTGTTGTTGCTGCTGTTGTTGTTGTTATTGCTGTGGTTGCTGCTGCTGTTGCTATTGTTGCTGCTGCTGCTGCTGTTGTTGTTGTTGTTGTTGTTGTTGTTGTTGTTGTTGTCGTTGTTGCAGTTGTTGTTGTTGTTGCTGCTGTTGCTGTTATTGCTGTAGTTGTTGTTGCTGTTTGTTTGTTTGTTTGGTTGTTTGTTGTTTGTAGTTGTTGTTTTGAATGAGGAGGGTGATCAGGGTAGGAGGAGGGGTCATCCTTTTGCATAGTTCAACGGTGTGCTACGATAATATTATTAGTTGTAAAGCGCTTATAATATGCTGTGCTACATGGTAATGAGCTACATAAACGCAGTCACTTCGTATTGCTATTACTATTAAAGCCTATTATTATTATTATTATTATTATTATTATTATTATTATTATTATTATTATTATTATTATTATTATTATTATTATTATTATTATTATCATTTCTATTTTTATTATTATTATCATCATCATTATCATCGTCATCATCATCATCGTCATTATGCCCTTGACAAAGTATTCTGTACAGATTTTGAAACAACTGATTATTTTGTTTCCTCTTGTGTTGTAGCAATCCATGCTGACATACTTCTTCTCAACGCGGGAGGAAGTGTTTTTCATGGCCGTGAGAGACAGGATGGCCCTTTCCACCAACTCCATCAAAGAGAAGTGAGAAAATTGTTATATTTGTTGCTGTTGGTGTTGCTGTTGCTGTTGCTGTTGCTGTTGCTGTTGCTGTTGCTGTTACTGTTGCTGTTGCTGTTGCTGTTACTTGGGGGGGTTGCTTGTTTTGTCTGGGTGTATGTTTTTGTCCTTTTTTTACATTTGTTTCTTCGTTTCTTCAGATTTTTAAAGATTTTTCGGGGGGGGGGAGGGGTGGTGGTGTTGTCTTTTGTTTTTATGGGGTGAGGGGTGTTGTTTACTCCTTGTTTTGGGTTGCTCTGTTTGATGTTTGTTTCGTGTGCACGTACAATGTGACAGGTCTTTCTTTGAATGGCTTTATATAGACCAGAGTAGGACAAATTTTTTATTTTAGTAGAGGTTTTACTGCGCTCACAACAGCATAAGGTTGTATGAGCGCCACGACAAATCTAAAAGATGCTGTTAAGGAAAAGATTCTTTGATAAATAATTCCAGTTTTTCTGTTGCCTATTTTAATAATATTTTTATCAGTGTTACTGATATTGTAATCCGTTTCTGTTTGAATTATCCCTTCATGTGTCGATTAACCGTAGAGTATAGCTGACGAAAAATTTTTCTTCCCAGGCGATCCCTTCAAACCCAACATGAGGCCAAAATGAAGGAGTCGTCAGACAGCAAGAAGTCAAGAAACATGTTCATGGTTACGCTAATGGCTTTGAGGGTATGGTTTGTCATACTTGTATCTTAAGAGAGAGAGAGAGAGAGAGAGAGGGGGGGGAGAGAAAGAGAGAGAGAGAGAGAGAGAGAGAGAGAG